TCATTCATATATCCATGAGCTTTCATTTGAAAAGTTTTCGCCGACGACATTCCATCACACTGTAAAGCCCCGTACTTTTTGGTTGAAAAAAAAGCCACGAGAAAAAGTCCTGCTTGATATTCTTATTTTTGAAAAAAAACCCAAAAGCAAAAAAGTCATTTATGTTTCATTTAAAAAGCGAGAAAAACTTTTCCCAGATGACCCTCATCTGAAAAAAAAAGAATCCAAAATTGAGCAGAAAAGCCGTGTATATACGCTTTATTCAAAAAGCGAGAAAAAACTTTTTCCAGGGCCCTCATCTGAATCCCATGCACCCGCGTCCCTGATTGCGTGCGCCCTGGAAGGAATAAACGTTCGGATCCCGGCACCTATTTACAGCAGAGACCAGAGAGAGCGAGAGAGAGAGAACCCCTCGGTATATACAAGCCGCGGCTCCAACCTCATCTCGCCAGTGCTGCAGCTCGCTAAACTTGCTTTGCTGCCAAGCAGTTGCGAGGGCCACGACAGAAAAAACTCGGGATTTTTTTTTTTTCACTCCCCTTCCCTTTTCTCACGGGTTGCTTTCTTATATATACCCGCCAGCCTTGGGTCAGAGGAGCCCGATTCACTTTGCTTTCGCGCTCCAGTTTCGACTTGTCGCCAGTGAGGCTTTTGATTGTGATCAAAGCACTGACCAAAGAATCGTCGTCAGCATGGTGTTCAAGCACCTGCACTCGTCACCGGGCTTCTCCAAACAGGTGATCATCTCTTTTTCTTTTTCGAGTTTTGTGAGTGAGTGCTGTGTTTGGTGTGGCTTTTGAGAGAATCCAATCAGATTTTCAAGTAATCAAGCTAAAATAAAGCGAAGCTTATTCTCAGTGTCTGTCATGACTTTGATTAAAAATGAATATAGCGACCCACAACATTAAAACAAATAATATTCGTCTGCGTTCATTACTTTGATTACTGAGCACTTGAGCAATTATATGAACTCTAAATATACTGCATAGTTATTGAACGTGAAGGAGCAACAAAATCAAAGCAGTATGTTCGTAAAATTTTATTGCAAAATATTTTCCCTGAAGGATGAAAAAAAATATGTATAGTCGGATCTCCTGAATTGATCTCGATCGTGATATATATACCTTGAATAAAGGATTTGAGCCAACGACTTGAAATTTGGTGGAATTTGTTTGTCATAGTTCTATGATATTTCTTGATGTGATTAGGACTCAAGTGCCGATTTTATTCACTATTACATGTTAATAATCTTCGGTTTCAGATTAATTTTGGGATTATTTTTGCACTTTCCAAGCGTCAAAGAGTTTTTTTTTTAATTCTGTGATTTGTTATTTTGGGAATGAATATTTTTCATTATTGAATCCTATAGTGAAAATTACTCGTGCTTATTTTTCTCGCAGCCAATATATGGTTACGTAACTTATTGCCGAAGTGATGAGCAGCAGTCTGTCAGAAATTTCTTCGGATTAATGAAGTTCTCCAAATAAAATTGAATTTAGCTAAAAGTGTATGACAATTTTCTGCTTTGAAGTGGTGTTCTTTTTATTCGTCGCGTTGAACCGAACAGTGTTTTTGAATTATGTGAATTTATGCTCACACGCCCTGGGTTGACCTGTAGATGGGGTGCTCGTTGATGGGTTCGATCGCCGGGACCACGGTGGGCGTCTTCTCGGGTTATTGCTCCGTGGGGTTCCCCTCTTTTGATGCGGATCCCGAAGCAGCTTTCAGGATGTCCGAGGATCAACAATCGCTGATGGGTAAGCAAGGCAAATACATTCTAAAAATATAAAAAGACTTTTTCGAAAGTGTGTCCGAGTGATGATCTTGGGGTTGCATCACTGCTGATAAAAATTATC